CCCCAGAGCCAGCACCTCCAGAGTCCACACCCCTAGTGTCACCACCTCCAGCAGCACCAGAGTCCACAGCGACGGGCCGCAGAGGCGGTGAAGACGGTCGAGGCGGAAAGCCAGGAGGGACCGCCAAGCGCGCGGAGCGGCGAAGGGCCACGGTGTCGATAGCAGTCTGGTCCCCCCCTCAGCAGGGCCAGAGGTGTCTGAGGAGACCTCCAACGGCTCAACCAAGGGGGGTGGGTCTACCTGAGACACACCTGAGGGAGCGGGACCGGGAGGAGGGAGGGGGGCTACCGGGGGGGGGTCGTCCACCAGGGAGAGAGGCGGGAGGGGTACCGGGGAACTGCCTTGGGGGTGAAGATGGTAGAAGCAGACGGACTCGTCAAAGGTGATGTTGTGGGAGGACACCACACGACGAGAGCCCAAGTGGTAAAACTGACAAGGTGGTGCGTCGGCGGGAATGCCAAGGAACACGCACCGAAGAGTGCGTGGAGAGAGCTTTCCTGTGGGCAAATCGCGGACAAGAGAGAGGGAACCCCAGACCCGAAATGCCGACGCATCACCAACCTCGCCCGTCCACCTCAAAGTGGGGGAGGTCTCCAGGTGGGAGACACGAGGCTAGAGGTTGAGATGCGCAGCAGCGTATCGGACCGCAAACGGCCACAGAAAATGGGGAGCAGCCGCATGGATCATTGAGATGCGAGCAACCTTTATGACTAGACCAATGCGGCGCTCGGCAGTCCCATTATGCTGTGGAGAGGCCGGAAGCGTATACAACTGGAGGATGCCCTCAGCATCACAGAAGTCATCGAGGAGGTGGGAGCAAAACTCACCACCTCGGTCAGAGTGCAGCCGCAGGATTGGGAGGTCCTCATAGAACCGAGCGTGAAGCTGGAAACGGACAGCGCGGATCCAGCGGATCAAGACACCGCGGGCATCCGCCTTGCTATGCAAGGGGAAGACCGTGGTTTAGCGCGTGTAGTCGTCAACAACCAGCAAGAAGTAGCGCTCTCCGCCCTGTCCAGGGACTCAGGCTGGACCCCACATGTCTATGTGGAGGGTCTGCAGAGGAGCTGTGGTTGGAGGAGGAGTGAGGAGCGGCGCGCTGCAGCCCCTCGACGCAGGGAAGGCACGGCGGCGCAAGCGACCTCGGGAGCGGGGGCAGGGACCTGGGGAGACAAGAAAAAAGGAGACGAGAGTGCATGCCACGCATGCGTGGCAAGGAGGGGTGGCCAAGATGGTGGTGCCAGAGGAGAGTCTGGTGCGTGAGGAGACGACACAAACAAGACGAAGCGACCTCAACCGACGCAGCTACCTAACCTGACTCAGCTACCAGTGCAGGCTCAGTGGTCAGTGTGTACAGGCCAGATCCAGGCCTCCGAGTTAACGTGGCGAGGTGCTCACCAGTGCGCAAGTCCGTACAGATCGCCACAAGCTCGCCTCCAGGCTGGGTGACAGTGACCCACTGGTCCTGGAGGACAGAGGTAGCCACCAAGTTCTTAGCGAACGAGGGGAGGTGGAGACATGTGAGGAGGCCGGAAGGGGCCGCCGGACAAGGGAGAATAGTGGCGCCACGCGCGACTACCGTGTCCCCAGAGGGGTCGGCCAGTGTGACAGGGACAGGGACTGTGAGCGGTGTGACTGTGGTGCTGTCGCGGAAGAAGCAACGAGACGTGCTTGAGTCGAGAGTAAAAGTGTGCAAGGCTTCCTCAGGCTCTGCCTCTGCGCTAGCTGAGTCACACGCATGGAGACTAGTAGCCTCTACGCCACCAGGTGCCTCTACACCCCCAGTACGAGTACCCCGAAACCCTCCGCCACCGGGGCTGCCCCACCGGACAGCCCACTCACAAAGCTGCTGCGGGGAGAGAGTCTCCAGCGGACGCTGCTGCTGCTGCTGTCCACCCCCAGAACCTCCGCATCTACTAGTAGCACTACCAACATGAGTAGACTCACAGGTACCTCCAGTAGTAGCACCCCACCGGACAGCCCACTCACGACGCTGCTGTGGCAAAGGCGGCTTCTGCCGACGAGCACGGCTAGCTCCGCCACCGGGACTCCCCCACCAGATAGCCCACTCGTGAAGCTGCTACGGCGAGAGAGACTCCTGCACACTCGGCTGCCACTGACGTAGGACAGTAGTAGTGGCCATGGCAGTCAGTGGCAGACAGTAGCAGCAGCGCAGGAGCAGCTAGGGAAGTGCGCGAGTAACTGGGTGCTCTTGTGCAGGTCGCTTGTGGGGCAGGGCTAAGGCAGTCACGCGCGGGCAGCTCACGGCGCAGGGCAACGCGGCTCGAAGGGCAGGGCGGCGTGCGGGCCTAAGGGCAGGGCGGCGCGCAGGCTGCAGGGCAGGGCGCGTGGGCCTAAGGGCAGGGCAGCGCAATTCTAAGGGCAGGGCGGCGTGCGGGCCTCAGGGCAGGGCGTCGCGCGGGCCTAAGGGCAGGGCGGCGCGCGGGCCTAAGGGTAGGACAGCGCAGCGCGCAGGCTGCAGGGCAGGGCAGCACGGTTGCATGCTGCAGGGCAGGGCAGCGCGCAGGCCTAAGGGCAGGGCGACGCGCGGGCCTAAGGGCAGGGCAGCGTGCAGGCCTAAGGGCAGGGCGACGCGCGGGCGTAGAAGGGCTTGTTGAGTAGCGGGTCAGTGCGCCCATAACCCCCCAGGACAACGAGCCTATAACCCTTCCCTAGGATCAATCGGGGATCACCAGTGGACCTCTGACACCCCCCTGCACTGGGATGCCCGAAGTGCACACACTGGGATTCGAACCCGAGACCTTTGCTCTGATACCATGTCAGAATCCCAACCACTAGACCATTGGGATAAAAGGGCTTGTTGAGTAGCGGGTCAGTGCGCCCATAACCCCCCAGGACAACGAGCCTGTAACCCTTCCCTAGGATCAATCGAGGATCACCAGTGGATCTCTGACACGACGCGCGGGGCAGCAAGGCGCGACGTGCAGGCAGGCAGGGCAGCAGGGTGCTCGTGGGCAGGGCAGCACGCCGGGCAGCAGAGCAGGAAAAAAAATACAAGGCCGGCCAGGGCGGAACGTTCGGTGGGCCCTAGGGAACCAACCAACTCTAATACCATGTTAGAATAAGAAAACAAGAATGACTAGAATGGAGGGGTACAAACATACAAGTAGGAAACCCTAATGGGTTGTACCCCTAATGAGAACCCCAATATAGCCTATAGTGAGATATTACATTTGACAGCTTCGTTGTCAACTGACCTATGTGAGAGGCATAGCTTTGCACCGACATTGTTCTCTGACAACAAGGTCATTATCCTCCAGTGTCGAGGGCCTCGACTGGAGAGAAAAGTGACGAACATCCATCTGCGGTACTTCCTGCTTCAAGAGGTGCAACCATACTAGCGGGCACGCTTGGTCCTTCTGGCCCCAATGGCCAACACTGCGGGCATCTTCACCAATGCGCTTCCGTCTGGTGACCACCACAGGTTCTGTTCGCAGTTTGGCCGTGTTCAGATAGACCCTTGCTTGTTGTAGATCTTGTTAGAATAGTAACTAGCTAAGCTTAGGAGCCATAGCTAGGTTACGAGAGAGGGGAGAAGCAAGGAAGGTCGAGAGGAACATGTCGAGAGAGATTTATCAAAAGAGGGTTTCAATAATGAACAAGGGTACAAGTTATAGGCAAAAGAGGAAACAGTGGTACACCACCTGCAATATCTTATAACTACACTAGGTTCTACTGTAGGCAGTTATAAATGTATACGAATACATTTCAACATATCTAACTATTGTTTCTTGCTCTACTTGTTTTGTTATTTATATATCTCTATAAACAATTCAAATGGCCTTGTTGCTGTTTGTCTTGGAGGCTGGCTTGTTGTACCACCCTAAGATGATTTGTTTCGTCCATTAACTGGTTGTGCGACCATCTGTATCTCTTGCTTGCTTGATGTCCCTCACTTAGCATATGGGGGTGCACTAAAATATATATTATAAACGTGTTAAGTTGCTTAGGTTACAGTGCATTTCATAGGGTACATCACTTTCTATGTTAGTTATATGTATTACCTTGCTACCTAGTTCAACACTATTTTTTTGTCTCGACATACATGCAGTAAGAGAATGTACCACTTACAGTACATGGCTTCCTAAGATTGTTCGTACTCTCTTTTGTAATTTTATGTAAACCCATGTATTTTTCTGGTGTAACCGTTTTTGTCATTTTACATTCACTTTGCCAAATGTAACTCACACCAATAACTTACCGACGCAATGCCTACGGTTGAATGTGAGCAGATAATGCAAAGGCATTCAACTCTTCGTAATTAACAGTGTACAAAAGTATGGTAAATTTGACAACAATATTTTCAGTTAATTTCTTGTGCAATATTACAAACCTCCTGGTTTTAAGCGTTTTGTTTCCTGACATCTAGAGTATTTCAGCCTTATACAAAACCAATCTAGGGGTATGTCGAAGGAAGGTGCACTACCTTACACCAAATTGAACCAGCTCACAAACCAATCTCGTCCCAAACCAGCGTGAACACAACACTCATCCGATCTGGCACTGATGGGGTTTATTGGTGCATGAGGGAACTTGTGGGCGCTTCGCATCACGTCAGCCTGGGCACATCACAGGACGGCTGCCTTTCCCAACGCACGACTCGCGGCAATACACTTAGCTTGTGGCCTTTCCGATACGGTGGCATGCTTTGTTGTTACGTTTCAGAGTGGTACGTTACAGTACGGTGCGTTAAAATCTCGCCTGGTTTCCGCGACGCGGCTTGACACTTCTTATGCAATAACGCGATATCCAGCACGGTAACTCACGCTACAGTACGGCAGACGGTGGTTGATTCTACTGATGAACCATGTGGGAGCGATTCGCTTGTGGCCTCGTTGCGCCAGCAAACCAGCAATTTGGTAAACTGGGTTTGTTTCTGGACTGGCCGCACAAAGCAGGTAAATACCAAACAAGATTCTCCAGTTGCACAAGTCATCAGTCTCCTATTGAAAATCTTCAAGCTTGTCAACTGCTCCACCATGCCGTCGAACTACCTCAAGTACAACATGGCTTTCCCTAGCATTCTCTTCGTAGTCATCGCCCTCATCAGCCTGGTACCGCATGGCGCAGATGCGGCTAACATGCCTGCTGGCGGATGCCACACTCGCTACGTCTGCCCTTACATCGACAACCTTGCTACCGCAACTATCTCGCAGTCCACTTACACCAACTACAAGTACATCGGCGAGTACCAGGGGCTGTTCAACAGCCAGGGCGGGCAGTTCGTGCCACACCAGCGCGGTTCGGGCCCCGTGAACTTCGAGCGGTACACAGAGGTGGGGACCATCTTCGACGTGGTGAAGGGCGTGTACGGTGACACGCTGCAGGAGTGCTGCCGCGCATGCGCACGCTCAACCTACTGCTACCAGTGGCATTGGTTCAAGAAGTGAGTGCGTTTTATACTTCTCCTTAGTTCGCGCCGCGACATAAGCAGATTCGCAAAACAAATGCCATGTTGTGCGCCGAGCAAAATGACGGCGTGTGCCTGAGTGACTAAATCTCTTTCTTCTATGCGTTTCCTCGCCCTCTCTTCCCCCCCCCAGCGCGCGACTCGCCGGAGAAAACTCCAAGGTGACGGGATTTATCGACCGCATACAGTGCTACCTGCTGGAGAAGGTTGGAGGTACGGGCACGTCGGGCTCTTTCAAGACGCCGAATGCGGGCAGCGCGGCTACGCAGGTTGCGAACGCGGCGACGTACCCGCTGAGCTTCGTCGGCGGGCTCTGCAACGGCACGGCGCTCGTCGAAAACGACCCGCATCTCACGGGCGCGCACGGCACGCACTACGATTTCACCGGGCGGCTCGACAAGTCGTTCTGCCTCTTCTCCGACCGTCGATTCCACGTCAACATGCATCTGAACGGATACCAAGGCGCACCGCCCGCGATTTCCGCGACAAATTCGAGTGAGAAGGAGTCGAGCACTGAGCTGCACACGTGGATCAAGGAGATCGGTGTGGTGTGGATGACGCCCGACGGCGCAAACCACACGCTGCGCATGGTTGCGCGCAAGGGCAAGCAGCAGGAGCGCGGAGACAACGGCTTCCTCTCGCTGCTCGAGATCGACGGCACGACGATGACGCCTCCGAGCGTCGGCGAGTCGATCGCGACGGAAAGCGGGCTGGTGGTTACAAAAATCGCGGAGGAGAAAGAGGGACCGTTTGATGTCGATCAATTCCAGGTGCGCGTGGTGGGGCTTGGGGAACTCGACGTGCGCGTCCGCGTGGCGCACCCGCTGCTGCAGACGCCGACTGAGGCGGAGACCCACTTCAATGTTGAGCTTTCCGACGTCAGGATGACGTCAGCCGTGCATGGCGTGCTGGGGCAGACTTTTAGGAACTCCCCGGAGCAGCTGCAGCGCGCGGTGAAGTACTCGCACTTGGCGGCGCTGCTGCACCACCCCGTGGACGTGGATAAGGCGGAGGGCAAGGGGTTCCTGGACGGCGACGTTGAGGATTACATTTCCTCATCGATTGTTGCGCCCGACTGCAAGTACGCCAGCTACGCCTCTGCTTGAGATCTCCTCACGAAGCGATTCGGATGCCAGAATTCGACTGCTTGAAGTGCAAGGTTGTCCGTGGGCTGAGTGATTAACTAGTGTCGAAAGGCTGGACTGGGGGTTGCTGTTGTCATTGAGCCCACTTCTGCCTTTTCAGGCTAATAAGGGCTCGGACCTCTCAGTGTATCTATTTGTGCTATCGAGTAATGTCATTCTATTCTATTTGTTAAATTATTTTAATGCACAACTGAGAACAACAGCAACATTTTTACACACTTGTAAGTCCAACATCCTAATTACCCATTTTCCAGACCAGAATTATATCATTTTCTTATATACGCTCGCCCACTTAGTTGTACGCGTAACATATGTTGACATATTTCGCCTACAACTGATAACAAGCGGGTGGGCGAACCTCGTGAGTTGGTAACTGGGAAAGAACGGTTGCGTTCTGGACGAACTTTCGCCACCGCTGTCGACTCGAAAGAAGAGTTCTGACGAACATGCACGAGGAGAAAGAGGAGTAACCCCTTTCTCTCGCGTTCGTGCTACATTCTGTCTCGTTATCTGCTTTGAGAATCAACTCAACCTCCTGACTCAGAGTTTCAGCACGCGACTTCGAGTCCTGACTTGAGTGATAGATGAAACGCGTAGGCGCGCCGATTCCTCCAAGCCTCTCGAATCCGACTTCCCCTAATCAGTCCCAGCATGACGTCAGTGACCACCATATTAGGTGCCTCGATTAAATGTGTCGACCTGCCGAGTGTGCCTAGGCATTACTCAGGGACAGGTCGCTCTCGTTCCACGTGTCACCCCCGTTCCTCGTGTGTCTCTAGCGATTTTCGGTGGCATTCGTCCGTCTCTTTTGCGCATGGATGCTCGGTAGTTTCCTCTCTTCCGCCGATTTCCGGCAGATTTGCCGGAACTGCTGTGGCGCTGCCACGTGTATGCCGGGCTGGCTCGATAAAAGCGTCCTCGATAAGACCGTCCTCGGTAACGCCTTCCTCGGATGTACCGTCCCCGGCGGTAGCGCGCAATAGCGATTTGGAAAAGCCGTCGCGCGGGCAGGCGAAGAAAGGTGCAAAGAAGAGCGGGCAGAAAAAGGAAAATAATTACAAGTCGGATGACAACGACTTGGAGTTCGGAAGCATCGAGGAAATGCAGCGATGGCTGGCAACGAAGCCCAAGGGGTTTATCGATCCGTCGAAGCAGTACGATACGTCGTTAGAGGATCAGCTCTTAGCGGAGATAGAAGAAAAGGAGCAGCAGGAAACCCCAGCGGGTGGAGGGGACAAGCTGGGAGGAAGCGCGGGGGGGAAGGCGGGTGAGAGAAAGGGGGCACAAGGAGAGAAGAGGGGAAGGAGCAGTCAAGAAGGTTTTATTGACGTGCCTGCAAAAGGAAAAAAGGCCAACGCAGGTCAGAATATTCTTCTATCAAAATGGTTGTGTTAAACATTTTTCTTAGTTTGACCGACTGTTATCCCCCCTCCCCCTCCCCCCCCCTTGCCCAAAAGAAAACCCAAGCAGAAAATAGAAGGGATACAGAAAAAAAGTGCTGTTGATCTACACACTCACGGGTTTGGGGTTTTAGCCTCTTAGGTGTTGGTCGGGTTTGGGGTTTAACCTGGTAAAATTCCAATGATGCAGCCAAGACGATTGAGAGCGTCAAGATCGGGTTTGAGGTTTTAAGAATTTTCAAGAATCAGTAGAGCTAAGGGTTCGGGGGTCCTGGTTGGGTTGCTGGTTTGGCTGCAGGGTTTAAAATGGGCAACCTTTCAACAATCGATCGGTTGTATCTAAAGCTCTCCCTCTCCCTCTTCCTCTCCCTCTCGCTCTCCCTCTTCCTCTCCCTCTCCCTCTCCCTATCCCTCTCGCTCTCCCCTCCCTCTCCCTCTCACTCCTCTCCCTCTCCCTCTCCCTCTCGCTCTCCCCCTCCCTCTCCCTCCTCACCCTCACCCTCTCCCTCTCCCTCTTTCACTCTCTCCCCCTCTCCCTTACCCTCTCCCTTTCCCTCTCCCTCTCCCTCTCCATCTCCCTCTCCCTCTCCCTCTCCCTCTCCCTCTCCCTCTCCCTCTCCCTCTCCCTCTCCCTCTCCCTCTCCCTCTCCTTCTCCCTCTCCCTCTCCTCTCCCTCTCCCTCTCCCTCTCCCTCTCCCTCTCCCTCTCCCTCCTCAACCTCTCCCTCTCCCTCTCCCTCTCCCTCTCCCTTTTCCCTCCCCAGTAACACCCCCCCTCCCCCCGTTCCCCGCCAACCCCCCCCCTCACACACCCACCCTCTTTAAATTCTCAGGCGCGGACCTTTCACCATCGGCCATCACAGTGCAAGCATTGGGCTGTTTGTTAGGTCCTGAGTTTAAGGTTTGCAAACTTCCCTCCCTGGATTTAAGGTTTGCAGACTTCCCTCCATCAGCTGTATTCAAACTCCTTCCTTTCCCTCTCTCCCCCCCTCTCCCCTTTTCCTCTCCCTCTCTCCCCCCCTCTCCCCTTTTCCTCTCCCTCTCTCCCCCCCTCTCCCCTTTTCCTCTCCCTCTCTCACCCTCTCTCCCCTTTTCCTCTCCCTCTCTCCTCCCCCTCTTTTCGTCCCTGTAACTCCCCGCCCCTGCCCCTTTTCTATCCCCTCCACATTCACCTTTTTCATATTCTCAGACTCAGACCTTCCACCTTCAGCCATAAAAGTTCGTGTCTCCGGGCTGCCCAAGAAGAAAAAGATCACCAGGGACCTGCGGGCAGCGTGGAATGGGCAGCCCGGGCTGCTGAAAATAATTCCCATGGAGACCGGTTCCTCTAGCACTCGCGACCCTGTATGCACTGGGAGCGCCGTGGTGGGATTCACGAATATGGCCGCGGCTCAGAGGTATGCAGTTGGGTTTAGTGCGGTGCAAGGAAGTAGCATGTAGTAACTCCCATGGAGACCGGACCGGGCCTTCCTTAGCACGCACTCGTGACGCGGCGTGCACTTGGAGTTCTCTGGGTTCTGTTCTGTGGGGGTGCGAAAGAAGCCATGTGTATGAAGAAGTGTTTTGAGACGTCTCAAAGGACCGGCCCTTCCTTTAGCACGCACTCGTGACGCGGTGTGCACTTGGAGTGCCCTGGGTTCTGTTCTGTGGGGGTGCAAGAAAAATTTAGTGCGGTGCAAAGCAGTTGGTGTGGGCCTGGCGTGTGGTAGCATGTAGTAATCCCCATGGAGACCAGTTCCTCCTCTATCACGCGCGACCGAGTGTGCACTGGGGAATCTATGATGCAAGTGGATTTAATACGGTACAAGTAGGTTCATTGGGGCGATGGTAGCATATAGTCATTCCCATGGAGACCAGATCCTCCTCTATCACGCACGACCGAGTGTGCACTGGGAGTGCCGCGGTGGGCTTTACAGATCCTGCAGCGGCTCAGAGGTATGCAATTAGGTTCAGTGCGGTGCAAAACAGTCGGTGTGGGTGTGCTGGTAGCATGTGGTAATTAATTACCATGGAGACCGGATCCTCTCGGTTCAGGGGAGTTGGTGTGGGTGTGGTGGACAGCACCATGGAGACTGGATCCTCTTCTAGCACGCGCAACCCAGTGTGCACCAGGACTGCTGTGGTGGCATTTCTACAATTGGCGGATGCTGAAAGGTGGGTTTTGTAAGGTAAATGTGGATTCAGTGCGGTGCAAATGGGTTCAGTGTGATTTGGGGCAGTTGGCGTCGCTGTGGTGGTAGCATGTGGTAACACTTACCATGGAGACTGGACTCTCCTCTAGCACTCGCGACCCGGTGTGCACTGGGACTGCCGTGGTGGCGGTTTTGCAACGGATGGGTCGTGTGGGGTGCAAGCGCATTTAGTGCGGTGCGAATGGGCTTATTGCGGTGCAAGAGAGTTGGTGTGGGTGTGCTGGTAGCGTGTGAATATTTCCCATGGAGACCGGATCCTCCTCTAGCACTCGCGACCCGGTGTGCACTGGGGGTGCCGTGGTGGCTTTACGGATATGGCAGTGGCGCAAAAGTATGCAAATGGGTTCAGTGCGGTGCAAGTGGATTTAGTGCGGTGTAAGGCAGTCGGTGTGGGTATGCTGGAGACCAGATCCTCCTCCAGCACTTGCGACCCGGTGTGCACTGGGGGTGCCGTGGTGGCTTTACGGATATGGCAACGATTCAGAGGTATGGAAGTTGGTTCAGTGCGGTGGGGTGCAAGTGGACGTTGGAAGATGGGTTCTGTGGGCTGCAAGTGGATTCAGTGCGGTGCAAAGCAGTCATTGTGGGTGCGATGCAGTAGCATAGCATGCAATGATACTCCATCTTGAAATTGTATGAGATGGTGGCGTTACGTGTTAGCAGGCGCGGAAAGGTGTGCAATAGACCTCTAGATGGGTTCAATGTGGTCCGGGACAGTAGCACATGGAGAGACCCTGTTTTCTCTATGACTACTTAACCTATTCTCCTCCCCTCCTCTCTTCCTCCACCCCTTCCCTCCTCGCTCGCTTAATCCCCTCCTCCCCTCCTCCCCTCCCTCCTTTTTCCCCCTCCGTTCCCCCCTCATTCAGGTTCATCCAGCAGTACAATCGCTCAGCCCCCATCCGCTTCGGTCAGAAGGAGAAGGCCGCTTCTTGCAAGCTCATTGTTGGAGCATCTGCTGCTGACTGTCTCTCTCCTCATCCCCTCATCCCCTTCCCCCCCCCCCTCCACCCCTACTCCCCGTTTCTCCCGCCCCTCCCCCCCCTCTCCCTCCCCCCCCATTCAGGTTCATGCAGCAGTACAATCGCTCAGCCCCCATCCGCTTTGGTCAGAAGGAGAAGGCCGTTTCATGCAAGCTCATTGGCTCATCTGCTGTTGATGCTTCTCTGCTCCAGCCCAATCTTGCCAAGGGCAATTCCGTTAGTAGCAGTTCCGTTAAGAGAAGTTCTGGTAAGGGCACTGATGCTACTGTTCCAGCCGTAGCAAGAGCAGCAACAACGGCAGCAACAGCAGCAGCGGCGCCGCCAACTGCAGCAGTAGCTGCAGCAGTGGCAGCAACAGCTGCAGCAGCAACTACAGCAGCAGCACCAGCGGCAGCAGCAGAGGCGGAAACAGGCGTGATAGTCGAAGAGGAGAGAGGGCGCGGAGAAGGGGAGGATGGGACAATTAGGAGGGAGGAGAATCGAGAGGAAGGGTCCGCAGGGAATAAGGAAGACGCGAAAGCCAGACGCACTGATGTGCAAGGGACGGCTTTTGAGTCGACTCAAAAAAAAGCCAGAAGCACTAATGTGCAAGGGACGGAGGAGGAGGAGGAGGAAGAGGACGAGGATCAGGAGGCAACGAGAGCAGGGAATAAGGGCGGTAAGAAGACAAGGGAGAATGAAGTGGAGTGGAATGCGGTTGCTGCAGGAAAAGGAGGTTTGCAGGAGAAGAAAGAGGCATGGCTGCAGAGGTTAAAGGAGGATAAGGAGCTAAGGGCGCGGGTGGAGGAGATTAAGAGGAAGGTTCTAAGAGATATGGCGGCAGGCGGGAGGGAAGGGGAGGTGGGGGGGATTGGAGGGGGTGCTGGTGGGAGTGGGAGGCTGAGGGTGAAAGAAAAGAGTGTGACTGTGTCGAGATTGGGGGTGAAGGAGAGGGGAGGGGGACAGGGGAGGGTTATGGAGGGGGAAGGGGTGAAGGGGAAATGGAGGGGAGAGGAGGGAGGAGGGAGGATGAAAGAGGAGGAGCAGGAGTGGGAGGAAGAGGAGGAAGAGGAGGGAGAATGGGAGGAAGAGGAGGGGGAGGAATGGGAAGAAGAGGAGGGAGGGGAAGAGGAGGAAGAGGAGGAAGGGGGAGTGATAATGGGCGAAGTGGAGGTGATGGTAGAGAGTGTGACAGTTGAGAGTGCTGCTGCTGGAAGTGATTATATTGGAGGTGATTCTGTTGAAGGAGGATCAGCTACCAGTCCCGCTACACTTGCTGTTTCAGCAGCAGCAGGAGCAACAGCAGCAGCAGCAGCAATACCAGCAACAGAGAAGGCAAGTGCTGTTTCTCCATCCGTTTCTCATCCTTCCCAGCAACCCAAAGGGGTAAAGCCACAAGGAGAGGAGGGAGGGCGAAGGAAGGGAGAGGGCAGAGGAGAGGAGGAGGAGGAGCAGCAGCAGAGGGCGGCTGAGGCTCGCATCGAGGCTCTTGAAGCGAAGCTGCTTAAAATGAGTCAGGCGGGAGGGGGGAGTGAAGGGGGAGGGAGTGAGGGAGGAGGGAAAGGAGGGAAGGGGAGGAGGACCAAGGAGGGAGGAGGAAAGCGCAGGTAGGGTTAAGGAATGAGGGGGGATGGAGGAGGAAAGGAGAGCCAGGTTTGGCGCCTCAAATAGGGGGATGGAGGAGGAAAGGAGAGGCAGGGGAAGGTGGGGGTGTAGAACGGCTGGAAGATTCTTTTGCAATTTTAGATTCCAAGGAGCTTGTTGTTGCCATTTGATTCTGCTAACGAACAATATTTGGGAAGGAAAAATGTTGGAGACAGCCAAAACATCTGATGGGGTGGTTCAATTCAAACATGGCAGGGCCCATCCAGTTGCTTGCTCAAAAGCAGTCTTCCTGGGATTGTGTTGTGAACCATATTTTTGGTAACAGTCTTCTGAGCGAAAGAACACAATCCCTGGGAACACAATCCCAGGGAGCTTTTCAACCATAGCTTCAGAACACTGAGCAACTTCAGTCACGAAACCAACCACCCGCCTGGCCTAACACCCTAAACGAGGAATGAGCCCTGGCCTGGACCGAATCAGGCCATCGCCAGCATGTGACACAATTTTGTGAGAAAAGCTTCATATTATTTAGCTATTATCAACATTGCTACAAAGCAGAAATTAGTATGACATGACAGAAACAAAAAAACTAGGAGCCTATGCACTAGTGAACTTGGTCACAGCCTTTGTTCCCTCGGACACAGCGTGCTTCGCGAGCTCTCCAGGCAGCGTCAGCCGAACAGCCGTCTGAATCTCGCGAGACGTGATCGTCGGCTTCTTGTTGTACCGCGCGAGCTTCGACGCCTCCGTCGCGAGCTTCTCAAAAATATCATTTATAAAGGAGTTCATAATCGACATGGCCTTTGATGAAATCCCCGTGTCTGGATGCACCTGCTTCAGCACCTTGTAGATGTAGATCTTGTACGTTTCTGTGACGGCCTTGCGAGCCTTTTTCCTCTCTTTCTTCTCGCCGATGGGCTTTTTCCCCGCGGGAACGGCTTTCTTAGCGGCGGGCTCCTTCTTGGGTCCCTTCTTCGCGGCCTTCTGCTCCGCTTCTACCTTGGGCGCCATGATAACGCAGAATTAATCGACAAACAAAAGGTTGACAGGGTAAGAGAGCCTTGGAAGGACACGGTAGGTTGAAGCACTGAAAAACGGTGGTCACGAGCGTTCGATAAGGAAACTAACGGACTTAGGAAATGCGAGAGTAGGCGCTTGAGATACAGAAGACTAGTGCTGAACTGACGTATTTCAAGAGTTGAGACTGGGTTGGGGAAGAGAGGCTGGAGTTGCGTGGATGTGTTCTCGAGAATTGCTGCTGCAAGACTTGAAACAACTGTGGCTGTTTGTGCTTTCGAACTTAGCCAATGGGAGGCTGGGTGATAGATCGTAGCGTTCTCTAATGACCGTCGATGAAAAGCCATGTGACACGCTTAACCGTCAATAAAGGGCATCTCCATTGCGGAACGTCCGATCTAATCCAACGGCTTAGCACTCGCTGCCGTGGTGGTGCAACTCTTCTGTCATCGCTGTAAACCAATCACCGATCGCGTTTGCAAAGTTTTGGGATCGACGTGAATCAGGGTTAGCCGTCGATATTCCTGTGAAAATCTTTCTCATCGACGATCGAGAAAATCAACACCACCGAACAATACGCCGAACCATCTCCAGTGCCACCAAAACATGAGGCGAACAAATACAGCACAGCAGAGCACAGCACAGCACCACCAGACAGGGCTGGGCGAACCCACCACCACACCACACCACGCAACACCCAGACGCACCGCAACATCCACAGCCCGCTGCCCCATTGCTTCCACTTCCACTTCTTTGGCCGCCAAGGTCTGAATAAAAGAGTCGTGAATCGCTCCTCAGTTCCATAGTTCCAGTTCCTTCTCTCCAAGTTCTTAGTCCCAGCTCCTCCACTTCAGCTCCATTGTTCCAGTTTCTCGCTTCAGTTTACGAGATTGAAGCACCTCATCTACTGTGAAGTCCAGTTGAGCGTCCCATCGTCTTCGGCTAGCTCTGAAAGTATCGACCGGGTCTTCGTGTGCGGTTAATCTCCGTTACTCATCATGTCGGGACGCGGCAAGGGAGGCAAGGGCCTCGGAAAAGGAGGCGCGAAGCGTCACAGGAAGGTTCTTCGCGATAACATCCAGGGTATCACCAAGCCGGCTATCAGGCGTCTCGCTCGTCGTGGCGGTGTCAAGCGTATCAGCGGTCTCATATATGAAGAGACTCGCGGCGTGCTGAAGGTGTTTCTTGAGAATGTCATTCGCGACGCTGTGACTTACACGGAGCACGCGCGGAGAAAGACGGTTACCGCCATGGATGTGGTTTATGCGTTGAAACGCCAAGGCAGAACCCTGTACGGCTTTGGCGGCTAATTTAGCAATAAGACCCGCTGTTTAGTTCTAACATTTTTTACAATAATGTACAATTTACAATTAATAACACCGTCGTGGCTAATTGCCGAAATTCTCAAAAGCGTACAATTGATTCGCTTCAGCTTCGTCGTCAAACCGCTGGAAAACGCGATCCAAGCCTGCAGTGACGGAGGGGTCTGCCACCGAACTGTACCCAAGCGAATTGTATCCGCAACCTTGCTTTTGCACTTCGACTAGCAAATCCACGTTGCGTGCTAGTTACTTCCAGCCTTCTAGCTGCTCCTTCTAAGGCAGCCTCCCACCGAGCCACGTGTGACGATCACTCTAAGCAATCGCAGATGTGTCGCCATGCGACGTGCCACTTGGCGACACATCTGGTCTCGCCTTTCTTCGTCGCTTGACGGATCTCCACCGTCGATCCAGTCCGTAGATCACTCTGTCGCATCAACCGCCCTCAGCACCTCGAGTTTGCATTCCACCTCGTTTCAAAGAAAACCGGGTTACTTTCATACGTCTGACGCTACATCGAGCTTAATTAGCCAGTTGCGCGAATCGCCGAGCCTAAATACCCAGCTGCGCAGGCTGATTAGCAGCAGGGGGAGCAGCAGCAACAGCAGCGTTAGCAATGGCAACGGAAGCAAAGTTCATGCGAAATTCAGCAGTAGTAGCAGCAGCAGAGACGGCAGCAGCAATGCCAGCGTCAGCAGCGGCAGTGCGATCAACGGGTGGTCTCACGACAAGATGACGATCTCGCGCGCTGCGGACATGCTCATGGCGCCGCCAGCCAAACCGAAGCGACTCGGGTACGGTCAAGCCCTCCCCCTATTTCTCCCTTATCTCCCCCAAAATCTCCCCCCCATTTCCCCCCTCAACTCCCACCAAGTCCCCCCAATCTTCCCCCACAAACCCCCCCCTGATCCTCCCCCCCCCCCCCCATCTCCCCCCACTCTCACGGCGCTGCGGACATTCTCATGGCGCCGCCAGCTGTGTGCAGCCGTGAGCCCCTCCCCCTGCCTCCTCCAATCTCCCTCCCCCTGTCCCCCCCCCCCCCCCAATCCCCCCCCTCACTATCGCGTGCTGCGGACATGCTCATGGCGCCGCCACCCAAGCCGAAACGACTGGGGTAAACGTCACATCCCCCCACCCCTCCCTTATTTCTCCCGTTATCTCCCCCCCATGGCGCCCCCACTCTCACAGCGCTGTGGACATTCTCATGGCGCCGCCAGCCGAGTACAGCCCAAGAACCCCTCCCCCTGCCTCCACCCCCCCTCCCCAGACTCCCCTCCCCTTCCCCGATCTACCCCCCAATCCACCCCGATCTTCCCCCACTCTCACGGCTCAGTGAACATTCTCATGGCGCCACCAGCCGTGTACAGCCCGAGAACCCCTCCCTCCTGCCTCCCTCAATCTACCTCCCCCTCCCTCCCACCCAATCGCCCCCGCCCACATCATGTGAACCCACCCCCAACCCCCCACCCCTTTTCCCCTACCCCTTTTCCCTCCCGCTCCCAATCCGTTGTTGTGTCTGCATGATACGTCTCATGCAGACACAACAACGGGAATGATACGTCTGCATGTTGGTGGGAGGTTTTCCTCCTTTCCTCCCCACCTCACCCCCACACGTGGGACTTCCACCTCTGGCAGGCAACCGTTGCAGTGTTTGCAACCATGACACATCTCAATTTGTGTTCCTTCTTCCTCCCGTCCCCCCGCTCTCCCCCTTTCCCCCTCCCCCCCCCACCCCCCACAGGTGGGACTTTCACATCTGGCAGGCAATCGTTGCATTGGTGCATGTTGGATCCCACTTCGTCTTCTCTCTCCTGCTCTCTCCTGCTCTCTCCTGCTGTCTTCTCTGGTGTTCATTCTTTCCCCCCACCCTCCCACCCACAGGTGGGCCTTTCACATCTGGCAGGCGATTGTTGCATGTATGCCCCTTCTAGGTGCACCCCCCCCCCCCCACTGGTGTTCCTCCTTCCCCCCAATGCATCACTCTCCCTCCCCCTCTCCTATTCCCCTTCCCACAGGTGGGACTTTCACATCTGGCAGGCGATTGTTGCATGCATGCCGCCTCTAGGTGCGTTACTAGCAGACTCGTTACTTCTATGCCCCCTCTATATGCGTTATTAGCAGAGTCGTTCATGCTATAAACGCTGGTAGTAGAAGCACCCCATATGCACTCTATGATGTACACTGACAGCGGCACCATGCTCACACGACCACCATGCTGACTCGTTAACTCGTTAACAGCAGCAACATTATAGATGGACTCCTCCTCTATAATATACACTGACACCGGCACCATGCTGACTCGTTAGTAGCAGCACCATAGAAACGGAATCCCCCTCTATAATATACACCATCACCAGCACCATGCTGACACTGTAGTAAAACTCGCTGCAATTGTTGCATGCAGACCGTGTTTTGAGTCGGCTCAAAACAGACACCGGCACCATGACGACACGGGTAGTAGAACTTGTGAGTCGACTATAAAACGAGGTGACTTTTGAGTCGAATCTAACTCAAAACAGACACCAGCACGAAGCTGACACCAGCAGGGCGCTGACTCGTTCCTTATATAAACACTGGTCGTTGCAGCACCATATAGGTGGAATCCCCCTCACCGGCACTATACTATACACCCTCACCGGCACCATGCCAACACTGGTACTAGAAGTTGTGAGTCGACTCAAAAACGAGGTGCCTTTTGAGTCGACTTTATAATATACAGTGTCACCGGCACCACCATGCCAACACGGGTAGTAAAACTCGCTGCAATTGTTGCATGCAGGGCCGCTTTTGGTGCGTTATAAACAGCCTCGTTCATGCTATAAACACCGGTAGTATAAGCACCCCGTATGGACTCTAAAAATTACCACCCCGTATACAATGTCACCACCAGCACCATGTTGTGAGTGACAGCACAATGTTGTGAGTGATTGTGAAAGGGAGTGTGAGAGGAGTGTGAGAGGAGTGTGAGAGGAGTGTGAGAGGAGTGTGAAAGGAGTGTGAAGGGAGTGTGAAGGGAGTGTGAAGGGAGTGTGAAGGGAGTGTGAAGGGAGTGTGAAGGGAGTGTGAAGGGAGTGTGAAGGGAGTGTGAAGGGAGTGTGAAGGGAGTGTGAAGGGAGTGTGAAGGGAGTGTGAAGGGAGTGTGAAGTCCGGGAGTAGCGTGGTACACTTGTTTCAGTTTCGCCACTTTCCCCTTTCTCCCCCCACCCTCCCCCCCTTCCCCTGCCCTCTCCCCTTCCAGCGCTGTATCTGACCGTGCAGTATGCCAAAGCAGAGATTGCGAGGATGGAAAAGGTGAGTGTGGGGGGGTGGTTTGGGGGGAATGTCTTTGATTCACAATGGAATGCTGGGAATGGGAAGGGTGAGTTGAGAGGAGAGGAGAGTGGAGGGATGGGAAGGGTGATTATGGGCTGAGTGTGTGGAGGGATGGTTTGGGGGTGGTCATTGATTCCACGAGTAGAAACGTGTAGCGAGGTTGTTTTTGAGACGTCTCAAAAATCTACTTTCTACACGTGGTTTGGCGGTGGTCATTGATTCCGAATGGAATCCTGGGGATGATTGAGAATAGTTTAGTGGACGGACCCTTGACTATCTGATTGTGCAATATGCCAACTCAGAGATTGCGAGGATGGAAAAGGTGAGTGTTGGGGAGGGGGGGGGGGGGGGGGGGGGGGGGGGGGGGGGTGGGGGGGGGGTGGTGGTTTGGGGGGGATATTGGTGATTCAGAATGGAATGCTGGGGATGAGTGAGAATATCATTGTGGATGGACATTTGACTATCTGACTGTGCAATATGCCAAAGCAGAGATTACGAGGATGGAACGAGTAAGTGTGGAGGGTTTGGGGGTGGGGGGTATAAGTGAACTTCAATAAAATCCTGGGGAAGACTGTGTGTGAAGGAGGTGTGGGAGTGTTATCGACTGTACCTGACTGTGTGATGTGGCGAATCAGAGATGGTGGTGAGGAGAGTGGGTGCTTGAAGGGAGTGTGAATGGGTGTGGAGGGAGTGTGGTAACAGAGCAATACAGACTTCGGCCGTAGGGAGATGGGGAGGGGAGATTGTGAAGATGGGGCTGGGGCGGAGCGAGTGATCTGGAGAGAGTGATTCTGGAGAGAGTGTAAGGGGAGAGTGAAGGGGAGTGTGGAGTGAGTGTGGCATTAGAGCGGATCAGACTGCTCTTCTTCTTTCAATTTTCATCTGCACCTTGCACGACTTTTGAGGCGCCTCAATAGTTCCCTTTTATTTTCATCTGCACCTTGCACGAATAAAACTATTTTGCATGTTTCCCCGAATCAAGAGCTACAGGCACAAAAGGCATCTGCAGCCAAGGGGAGTGAGAATGGGAGTGAGAGTTGGCGGAAGGGGGAGATTCATGAGACATCAACTCCTTATCAACTCCTTATCAACTCCTTATCAACTCCTTATCAACTCCTTCTCATGCAATAATTTGTTTTCATCTACTCGCCACACGTGTTGTTTTTACTTGTTTCCCTGAGGCAGGTGCTACAGGCAGAAGAGGCATCTGAAGTCAAGGAGAGAGAGAGTGGGAGTGAGAGTGAGAGTTGGCGGAAGGGGAGTCTCTTGAGGCATCTACTCCTTCTCATGCCTTAAAGCATTTTCATCTACTCTCTACACATGTTTCTTTCGCATGTTTCCCTGAAGCAGGAGCTGCAGGCTGACGAGGAATCTGCAGTCAAGGAGAGTGAGAATGAGAGGGATGTGGAGGGGGAACCTTGAGGTCCACGCATGTGCTCCTGTTCTCTGCTCTCATGCCCCTCCATGTGCTTCTATGCTTTGCGGTGTTTCCCTGAAGCAGGAGCTGCAGGCTGACGAGGAATCGGCAGTCAAGGAGAGTGGGAGTGAGAGGGGCTGTGGAGGGGGAACCGTGAGGTCTACTCGTGTGCTCCCGTGCTCTCTACTCACCCCGTCTCGTGCTTCTATGCCTTGCCATGTCTCCCTGAAGCAGGAGCTGCAGGCAGAAGAGGCATCCGCAGTCAAGGGGTCTGAGGGTGGGAGTGACAGTGGGAGTGACAGTGGGAGTGAGGGGAAGAACCAGGAAGGTGCGAGAACAGCTACATCTGACGTGTCACCAGCTCGCGAACATGTCACCGCGGGGCCGAGTGGCGTGACATCTGCTGATGTGGCATCTGTTGACGTGGCATCGCTGCAGCGCCAGCTGGCGGCGCTGGCCAATCAGGTGCAGCAGCTGCAGGGATTGGTAGGTGCTGGTGGGGGAGGGGGAGGAGAGGGTAGTGATAGAAGAAAGGGAGGGAATGATGGGGGAGGGAGTAAGAGAGTTGACGGAGAGGGAGCGGTAGGAGGAGAGGGAGAAGGGGGAGAAAGGGGAGAAAAGGGAGGAGGGAGAGGGGGGGAAGGAGGAAAGGCAGCGGGAGTGGGAGGAGGAGAGCCAACACAGGCATCTCAAGGACAAGGGGGAGTGGGAGAGAGAGGAGTGCTGAATCCTGCTCCTGCAGATTTGAGACAAATCAAAGGCCCTGGCGTAGTAACAACAGTGAATAGTTAAGCGATTTGGGATAAACACAATAAACCCTATTCGGGAGATCAGGTACCCTTAGCTTGCAAATCCATTTTGGCTCATCTTTCAAAACGGCCACGCTTGCAAAGACTGCTGGAGTTGGCAGTAGTGGTTGTGCTGGCGTGAAAATCGTGAGTTCTGCAATGAGATACCGTAGCTACGACTAAGTATTAAACATATTGGGAGATGTTTGGGATATGTGTTCTGTTTTTTTTTTCGGAGAAAATGCAGCAGCAGCACCAATGCACGTGTTACACAATGCCAAAATGATGGAATGTCAACGTAAAAGGTATGGAACGCCTTGACAAGATTTTTTTTTTTTTTTTTTTTTTTTTGCAGGAGGTGAAATTGCATTATACAACGCTAAAAACACCACCCATCGGTCGTAACCGTGCTAGAGGGCCTAGGTATAGCATACCGTACCCTCGCGGAAACCTCTACGGTGGTTTATATATCAGTCGCCTGAAAATTTCATCCTGCCCGCTAGGGAGAACCCTAGCAATGCTGCTAGCCTGCTTCGTGTGTGGCTCGACCACTTGAACATTGTTTTGACGAGCGTTTGTTGCTCTGTAGATTGCATCATTTTGAGAGAGGTGAAGAGTGGTTTTAGCCACAATCTTGGTTGGGCGAACCCTCCGCTCCAATGCAGCAACTCTCCATAGCTTCCTCCGACAATGACGGCGAGTGAAATTTTCCACAGCTTGTTCACCTGTTCTGACGCATCCCCACATTCCTCTTAACTCCAGCATTACCAAGCTTTGACGCCGTAGATTAATGTCATGAAATTTCGTAAATGCTTCTTTGTTCTTGCCTCCTGATTCATGGTAACGACGAACTGTAAAAGAACTGAGGTCAATCTCCTCCAGATGCAAATATGCTTCTTGCAGCGTAGTTTCCAAAGACTTCTGAACGGAGCTCGCGTCAGCTTCGGGAGTCTTTTGGTCATTCAACAGTAAATATGCCTCGTCGTCAATAATTTCAGCAGTCATGCTGATTGTATGAATGTCTTCACAATCTGTAGATACCATAACTCTTGCTTCCTGGAAATCATAATGTGAAACCGACTTGAACGATCGTGTCACTGGGTGGTTATCTTGAGTATCCAAATGTTGTCGCTGAATGGCAGCAAAATCTGTCAAGCGATAAATATTTAGCCGTCCTGCTTCCCTGTATTTAAAGTTCCCGATTTCACTTTGTTGTAGAGTACTCTCCTCTACTTTGCAGGAACTGGGAATTGTTCTAATCAGTAGAGCACTCTGTTAGCTTTCCAACGAGCCGTAGATCACCTCGATCGCCTAAGTATCGAGCGAGATATGGCTACTAACGTGAAAGCTATGCTCTATGTTGAAGGATTGGAAACTCTCTGGAATTTGTTGTCGAATGCACTGTGTACAAAGTGATTCACGTTTTCCAGTATGAAACATGCATACAAAGCTACTAGTTTTATAGCATGCAATCAACATCGAACCGCACATGTAACCTCGAACCGCGGTACACTCGAATGTTCGAGTAACATTTCGAAGGGGTGAAATTCGAGTCTCGAATTTCACCGAATCGAATTCTCCCTGAGTCTCGATTCTTCTTGTGCTACCATGTGGCACCAAAATGCAAGTCTCTCGAAGTCAACCTGCACCTTCTCGAGACCTGCAGTGAAGCCAAACTTCTTGGAACACTTGAGAAGCACCGTTCGGTGGTTGGGGGCAAAACCTTGCCTCACTCAACCTCCAACACTCCCCCTTGCACCCAAGCCACTAGGTGCTCAATCCAACACGCTCACAGCATGCACGGAATGAATCCTTAGGGAGTGGTTTAGTGAGGAAGTCCGCGGGTTGAGCTTTGGTGCTCACATAAGTGAGTTTGATCTCACCCTTCTCAACCGCCTCACGAATGAAGTGATGTTTCACTTCGATATGCTTGGTTCGCCCGTGAAGGACGGCATTGTGAGAGAGGCTTATGGTGGCTTGGTTGTCACAAAAGAGAGGAGTTGGGTTGGGTTGAGGATGCCCAAGCTCCGCTAGAAGACGCCGTAACCATATTGCCTCCATGGCACCTTGAGTGAGTGCCATATACTCCGCTTCCGTTGAGCTTAGAGCCACGGTTGGTTGCTTCTTGCTTTGCCAACTCACGGCTGCCCCAAGCAAGGTGAAGACATACCCGGAGGTACTTTTGCGCGTGCTCGGATCTCCCGCGTAGTCCGAGTCGGCATAGCCCTTGAGTTCAATCGGGCCGGCTTCATACACGAGCCCCAAGTTGGGTGTGCCTTGGTGGTAGCGTAGAACGCGTCCTCCCGCGCGCATATGCTCGGTATGAGGGTTGCTCACGACTCGTCCAAGCACCCCGGCGGCGTATGCGAGGTCGGGGCGAGTAGAAACGGCGGCATACATGAGCGAGCCCACTAGCGAATGAAACCGCTTCACTTCGGCTTCGTCGATGGTGGATTCTTCCTCTCCCATGAGGCAAGAAAATCTCGTAGCTAGTGGTGTTCCCACCGGTTTGCTATCGCCCATGCCGAAGCTCTCCACTACCCCCTTCACATACTTCTCTTGGTGGAGGTGGATGGTCCCGTTGGCTCGGTCACGATCGACGTGCATCCCAAGGTAGTACGTGACCGGCCCCAAGTCCCTCATCGCAAACTCCGCCCCTAGCCGTTGCTTGACCTCCCGAATGAGGTCTTTGGAGTCGGAGAAGAGGAGTAGGTCATCGACGTAGAGCAAAAGCACCAATTCCTTCTCCCCCTCCTTCAACACGTATAAAGCGCTATCGCACTCGCTACGCGCGAAACCGTGTTGAAGAAGAAAGTCGTCGATGCGCTTGTACCATCCGCGTGGACTTTGCTTCAAGCCGTAGAGGGTACGCTTGAGCTTCCACACCCTTCCGCTACCGTCATCGTACCCCAGGGGTTGCCGCATGTAGACCTCTTCCATGAGAAGCCCGTAGAGGAAGGCGGTGCAAACGTCCAATTGCTCCACCTCGAGGTCGAGAGATGCCACTAGCGCGAGCAACACCCGAAGAGTTGTAGCCTTAGCGACGGGAGCGAAGGTCTCGCTATAGTGCTCCCCCTCTCGTTGAGTGTAGCCTTGAGCTACAGCCTCGCCTTGTAGCGTTCGACACTCCCATCGGCTCCCAACTTCTTCTTAAGCACCCATTTGCACCCCACCAAGTAGGCACCCTTCGGCGGGTCGACGAGCTCAAACACGTCGTTCTCTTTGATCGAGGCTAGTTCCTTCTCCATCGCTTGTTTCCATAGTGGCGCATCCGGAGAAGCCAAAGCCTCGGTATGGGTGCGAGGGTCATCACCCAAGGTTGCGAAGCAATTATGCCGCACGCTCCTCGTCCAATTCCCCAACGGCTACCATAGCGTAGTCGTTGTACTTCGTGTTGGGGCGACGTATACGTTGCTCGCGGGTCAACGCCAATGGGAGGGAGGAAGGTGTGGAGGAAGTTGCCGTCTCGGTTGATGGCACCTCCACCACGTCGTCGTCGCTCTCCTCGTTCTCTCCCCCTCCATTTTCAGCTTCCTTTTCCACTTGTGATGGAACCTCCACCGCTTCATCCTCCTCTCGTGCGGGAAGGACGACGGTGAGTTGCGGCGTTGGTTGTTCCTTTGTCGGAAACTTGTCTTCGTCGAAGACCACGTCTCGAGACGTGACGACGCGCTTGTCGCTTAAGTCCCACACTCGCCACACACGCTCGTTCGCCGCAATTCCCAAGTAGATTGCCGCACGAGCCTTCGGTTGTAACTTGTGGCGAAGGGGATCCGGTACATGGTAGTAGCAAAGGCACCCAAAGGTGCGTAGGCGTGATAGGTTCGGCTTCGTTCCACTTCCATGCTTCGAACGGAGTCGTTCCCGGGAGCACCTTCGTCAGCAAACGGTTGCGAATCCACGCCGCTAGCGAACTCGCCTCACCCCACCACTCGCTCCCAAGCTTGGAGTGTTGAAGAAGTGAACGAACGGCTTCCACCAATGTGCGATTAAGCCGCTCCGCCGCTCCATTTTGTTGGGGTGTGTAGGGTGTTGTGACATCGTGCTTGATGCCCTTGCTCTTCATCCATTTCGCAAGCTCGTTGTGTCGAAAGGCTAGGCAATGGATGATTCAACTATCGAGAGTGTTGGTACAAGAAGAAAAATCCAAGGGGTTGTACCCCACAGTGAGTACCCCACTACAGCCTATCTAACTTAAACATATAAACATATGTTTGACACGTTGTTCACGAATTCGCCACCACCATCGGTACGAATAACCTTGATCCGCTTCTTGTCGTCGTTGCAAACTTCGAGCGCCCACTCTTGTATTGCCTTGGCCGCGTCGCCCTTAGCCTTCAAGAGTCGGGTCCAACACATCCGCGTCGCATCGTCGAGCATCACCAAGAGAAACCGCGCTCCTCCCTTTGATGCATGTCGCATCGGTCCACACACGTCCATGTGAACAAGCGCAAGCGGGTCCTTAGCGAGGGGTGACGTTCGGCTACCAAATGGCTTCCGAGCCATTTTTCCTTCGACACACGCCGTGCACACGCCCGTCTCGTCGTCGCCGGCGACCACGTCGACTCCCTTCGCAAGTCCTTTGTTTGCCAACTCCTTGACCGAGTCGTAATTGGCGTGCGCAAGTCGATTATGCCACGCCTTGAGAGTCGCCTTGGAACCTTGCGCCACGTTGGATGAAGCCGCTCCCGGGTGCGTCTTGAGTTGGTAGAGTTCTCCGTTGAGAACGCCTTGTGCGAATTGCTTCCCCTTCCAAAAGAGGTTCATCTTCGCATCGTCGATAGTGACCTTCACACCATTCTTCGCGAGTTGAGTGACGGAGAGGAGATTCACCTTCAACCCCGGGACGTGAAGCACGTTCGTGATGTCTACCGGTCCGCCATCGACGATGAGGCGCGTACTTCCAACTCCGACCACCGGTAGCGACTTGTCGTTTCCGAAGACGACGCGCGTTACGTCTCTCGGTGCACCAACGTTGGTGAGGAACGATGCTGAGTGCGTCAT